ATTCTTGTCATTTTTTTTTTTTTTAAGTTTTTGCCATAGGGCACATGTACTTGCCAGAGAGACAGAGAGAGGGAAAGCAAGAAATCACGCTCTGTGGAGGGGGCGGAGGGTGGTCACGCCGTAAGCTCTTTTCTTCCATTCTTTTCTCAGGATTTTGGGTATGCACAGACACATTTCAGTGTGACTTTCAGGCTGCCAGGTCCAGGGCTCAAACTGCAGAGTCGGCCATGTAGAATCCAGTGCCTTAATCACCATGCCACCTGCAGGCCCTTTTGTAATATTTCAAACTTTTCCACTATTATTACACCTGGGATGGTGATCTGTGATCAGTGATCTCTGATGTTGCTATTGTAGTTGTTCACGGGGCACCGTGAATGGTGCCCATATAAGATGGCAAACTTAGGACTAGCAGTTGGCGTAATAGCTATGTTGCTGGACTCCCATGTAGTCAACCGTGGTTCGAGTCTCGGACCCAGTGGCTTAAACTCACACCGGGCGCATGTGCATGTATGCCCAAGATCCCGAGAGGAGAATGGAGAAGGGATAGCGGTATGGCCATCCCCCATAGTGGATGATTTCTCACTTTCTGTCTCCCTGTCTTTCTAGCGAGCACATATGCCCTATAGCATTCATTCTTACCCCAGAGGTCAAGGGACAATTTTGACTTTCAGTTCCTATTATTTAAGAAATACATTTCAGGAGACAGCAGGTGGCGTGGTGGTTAAGGCAGCTGGACTCCCATATGGCTGACCGTGGTTTGAGTCCCAAACCTGCCAGCTTGCTTTTTCACTTTCCTTCCCTCTCTGTCTCTTTCTCCTCAACTTCAAAAAAGTAAAATAATAACAATGAATAAAATGAAATTTTTAAAAGTATATTTTAAAAAATCTCACAAGGCTATAGCTGCCAGAGACAGTGACTTCTCTGATGGGTCTGAACCTGTTCAAAGTAAACTGAAAACCTCCTGGAAAGGAGTCATCATTATAAATGCCAGTGAAATACTTGTAACTCATGGGGGGAGTTCGAAAATACCAACATTGGGACCAGCAGTTAGCGTAATGGCTATGTCGCTGGACTCCCATGTAGTCAACCACAGTTCGAGTCCCGGACCTGGTGGCTTAAACTCACACCAGGCGCGTGTGCGTGCGTGCCCAAGATCCCGAGAAGAGAATGGAGGAGAAGGGATTGTGGCATGGCCATCCCCTCTGGGGGGTGATTTCTCGCTTTCTATCTCTCTGTCTCTCTCTGTCTGTCTGGCGAGCGCACGCGCCCTATAGCAAAAACCTCTCCAAAAAAAAGAAAAAGAAAAAAAAAAGAAAATACCAATATTAATAGGAATCTGGAAGAAGTTGATTTCAACTCTCATGAATGACCTGGAGGCATTCAAGCCTTCAGTGGAAGAAGGAGCTGCAGAAGTGGCAGAAACAGCAAGAGAACTAGAGTTAGAGGTGGAGCCTCTGATTCAACTGAGCTGCGGCAATCTCATAAAATTTTAACGAATGTGATGCTTTTTTTTTTTTTTTTGGAGAGGTTTTCGCTATTAGGTGCGCGGT